ATCAGGAACTCTCACTCTGATATACCAGCTACCAGCAAATTATGAGTTGCCAAACATAATCAAGAGAATGAATTACAAGAGCTATCAGCAGCATCAAGCTGGATAAGGAAATGTTTGCTTATTACACAGGCACAGCTGAGAGAGCTGCCATACAGTAAAGTGCAGAAGAACCAAATTAATAAAAGCTGAGGAAATATCAAACAATTTTTTGCCCCATCAAGATTATAAAGCTCAAATAAAAACAAATATTCAGATATTTCATCTTGAGTGCATTCCTGAAATATTACCAACACCTTAAATATCTGTAAGATGTTATGGCCTTGCACCCTCCAAAAAGATACTTTGTATTGAGAGCATTTTCACTTCAGATGTGTCTCATGGAAACAGCATCAGCAGATAATCAGCTACAAGTTGATCACCGTAAATGCCCACTGTAGAACAACCAAAAGGAAATTAAATTTAAGCCAAGGGAACTAATTTCTTTACTCGGCAAAAAAGATTTTAGGCATCCTCCCAAAATAGTACTAACTCAGGTTGCAAATTTTCAATTTGTGTAAGCATTGATATTCCCAAAGGTTAACTTATTCATCAAAAAATCATCTGTAATAGCCAGATGGGAATACTCAGGTAGGAATCTGTTGATCCCTCTCCCTGTAACTGATTCTCTGTGGGACACACACTAGTTACTGTACCAGTGAGAATTCCTGAATGCCCCAGTGGTTAGTCCTTACCAGAGAGATATCAATTCCAGGTTCTAGTCACATATTTGTAGAAATGCTTAAATATTTTGAAAGAAATTGAGGTATTCCCTCTCTCAGGAAAAGCCTCTAACCAATAAACCAAAGAGAGTTTTCTCACTCAATGTCAACAGTTACTTAATTATCTCAAGAAAGATAAAGGCTTCAAAAAGAAGGATTTAAAGACTCCTACTGCAGAATAGTTCCAGCTAAGTGGTTAGGGCATCTTCATTTGCATTCATCTCTATCTTTACCCATAGTTCTAAAACCAAAGCATGCTTTAATTCAAATAAAATGGAATGGTAACTCTTCTTTCATATTTTGTGGAGTATCAGATATGTTCAGTAGCTGTGCACCAAGGGTTCTGCGAGGTAGGTAATACACTGACTTCACCTATGCTGACAAAAAGGCTATACCTAGGTGGTAAATCCATCAGGAATTTAGGAGATGAGATGATTCTAGGCACAGAATCAGGCAGATGACAGAAAGACCAGGAGACATCTGGTTGTACAAAGGTGGCAGTGGTCCTAATTCATCAGTTTGCTAATCATCATTCCCTGAATTTGAGAGTGATCCAGCAAGGTCAGGAGCAGTGAGGCACATGACCACACACGAGACATTGCTAACACCATGGCTCAGGCAGGGACCTGCACTGAAATGCAGTCCCAAACCCAAGGGAGAGAGGCTCCAGGCTTCTCCCAGCCCTTTGAAATGTGGCCAAGCTGTGCACACTGTGATAAGATAAAGATATTTCTCTCCCTTTCCAGACACTACTGCACTCCTTTGTTATTCTTGGTCTAACAACTCATCAGACTTGACGGGCAATCAATCAGACTAACAGTAAAAATGAAATGCAAAAAAGCTGAAAGCATTTACCATACCTCTGATTTTCCAAAAGTTCTCATTTTAATTCATAGCTATTCGATCATTATTGACTGTGAAATACTCCAGTGAGCCAGAAGATTCCTTATTATCAGCTGTGATACCTTTAACACCCACCCATTCATGTGATATGCTTATAGCATTCTGCAATTCGTATGTTCCCATACACCATTTCCACACAGTGCTTTAATACACAAGATCTCTCCAGCTCACAGGAGAAACAAAATTGCTGTCACAGTTCAATGGCACTGATGTTCTTCTGGCATTGGTGTTTCTCCTAATGAAATCTTGGAAATAGTCTGAAAAGTGGAAGCCTCAGGAAGAAAAATAACTGGCAGATGTATTACCTTGACCTCTGTAACTACTACAAGAAAATTATGATGAAGGCAGTGTTTTGGAATAATAGAACAGTATCCTGGCAGAATATCTAGCAAAATCTGGGGGGAAAAAAATAAATCAGAGATTTTTTTATTGGGTTTTTTCTGTCTTCTACTTGTCTTCTTTGTATTCCATTCCCCACCAAAAATGCAGAATTAAAAAACTGCAAACCGCTTACTCTGCTCAACGTTCGCAAAAAAATAAACCCATCTCAACTAGCAGCGTAGATATCTTTATGATTAATAAAATGACAGAAAATTCTAAATATGATTCAAAGTATTATGAAGTGCAACAGGCCAAAGGAACTGGAAGACAAAATGTCTCTCCACTGAAAATAAAGGAAGTCCAGAGAACTATCTCAGATAATTCTGCAATTACAGCTACATTTATCTGAAGACAAGCATGGTAAATCCCATGACTACTGTCCCTGTCACACCTTCATCTAGGAGAAAGAATTACAGCTAAATGACAGCTCAAAAAATATACTTACTTCATTAATTATGATTATTGTTTTCATTTCCCAGTCATTATCATTTTTAGTAAGAAAGTTCAGCTACAAAACTATGCCGAATGAAGAAATGGAATAACTGCTTCAAAAACAGATGAACCTGGATTTAAATCAGATTATGCATGAGATTTTTATGTTTAAACTTCATTAGCATCTTTACAATTCTGCAAGAGTAAATAAGGCTCATTATTACAATCACACCCTGCACTTTGTAATGTGCAATTTCACTTCTGTGATGTGTATAAATAATCAGTGGAGATATATCTGCATGACAAAATTTTCCATAATAAAAAGTCCCATAAAAGATCGATGATTCAATTTCAGGTGGGAAACTAATTCACAATGTATAGTTCGCTTCATCTGTGAAGCTCAACTGCAGATGAAAATTCTCTGAAAATTATACTCCAAAATAGTATCTTGTTTATTAAACTGAGTTACTACTTTCCATCTTCAACCAAAAACCAGAGGCCTGAAACAATTTCCTCATCCCCCTATAAAACTTCATTTAGTTTTCTAGCGTAGAGATGAAATAACTTTTTTAGTAAAGATGAGAAAACGCTGTGAATTTCCTGGGTATAAACTTTGTGGTCACAGACTCACCTCACCAGGAATTGCTGATATCCTATTATTGTGGTCTTTTGAATAGAGAAAAAAGATAATAATTTCAGGAAACCATCTGTTTGCCTATGGTAAACCTTGTTTTCTCCATTAAACTGAAATTGGAAACTTAACTCTGGTAAATTATTTTGCAAATACTGAAGTAATAAGTGATGTGAGGTTGCAATTCCTCCAGGTTTCATTATGTATCTCTACTGCTTAAGCTGTTTTGTTGTTAAGCATAAAGGAAAATTAAGTATATTTCTAAGTATGTATATCTCCCAGGACTTCCAGAAGTAGAATTGCTAAAACATCTGTGCATCAATGAGTACCATAAGCAGAATAAAAACCAGTTACTTTTCTAAGGTTTTGCATGCAGTTTTTTCTACACTTAAAAGCAGCATATTTTAAAGGAAATTATTCACTCAAAGGAGAAATTCACCCAAGTACCTTAATGAACAAAACCCCACCATACAGAGTTTATGACATTATTCTAAGTCCAATCAAACATCTTTTGACTTGCTATGAAAATACTATTCCAAATTGAACATGCAATTCTGTACATTTATCTATTACTAAGATTTTCTGTAGGTAAACTTGAATCATTTTACTTACTAGGAAAATAAAGCTCCTGGAGAAGAGCTAAACACGCAATACCTTGAAATAATAATTGGACACCAAGGGCACCTTAGGCAGAAAAGGCAGAATGGAATTACCTAAATTCAAAAATTAGCGTGGAACTGAGATTTTGTGTTATAGTTGAAGATAAAGGCATTCAATTCTTTCAGAGTATCTAAGTTATCTCTGATTTACTGTTCAATCTGAAGTAAAATATTATTCCTCATAACCCTTTTGTTGTTTGCCATCCCTTGGCAGATGAATGGAGAAAAAAATCATAGTATTACTTACATATTTTACAGCTTTTGTCAATGCCATACGCTTCCTTATTATCTCCAAGTAATAAACTTTCCAGTGGAAAATTTAGTGTTTTGCTGAAAGTAGAATCAGTGTGAATACAGTCAGCACATAAAACTGCTAATCTCTAGTTGCATGAAGGTATTTGAAAAAATGCAAATATTGTAAGTAAAAGGTACAAAAAAGTCATAAAGATTGGGAAACTGATGATTAAACAGCTTCAGAAAGAAATTTGTTCTGGCAATGCCACTTAAACACATTTGAATGGCAACAGTTGCACTTGCTGCACTTGTTTGTTGATAAATCTTTACTTTTACATGCACCTGTTTTCTGGATGCTTCGAAAAGGTGCCCAACCTTTTAATCTCTTATTGAGTGCTTCACTTGTTATCAGGGAGCTATGCAACTCCTATAGCTTGACTAGAATGCATAAAAGGTGTTTAAATTTCTTATAAAAGGAAAAAATTAAAAATAAAAAAATGTAACAACTCTGCTAAAACCCATAGCAATTCCTCCAGAATTTGTAAATCATTTCCAGAGAATTACATTCTTGGAAAAAAGATTCTATGGAAGAGCATGAAAGCAAAAATAAACAAACAACTGAGCAGAAGCCTTTGAATAGTGGAGCACACCAGCAGCAATGCAAGAAGTTGTTCTCAGGTTTAATTTAATCCCAACAGCCTTGTTAAAGCCAATTTAGGTCCACACAATCTCTTTTGTGCAAAACCGATAACTGTAATTCTATAGAGCAAATTAACCTTCACTGGGGAGAAAAGAGTTTTAATTTTAGTGAATGAGTTACATTACTTCTTTTTAGAGGTTTGTTATTGTTTTAATCAGATTTTAATCTCAAAACCAGCCTTTAATGCTTAGTCTAGAAAAGAAGTCAAAAAGATTCATGTCTCCTAGTGCTCTGCAGTGAGATCAGACTGACTCTGTGGCCACTACACAGGGTGAGACACAAAGACCTGTGTGTGTACAGACAGCTCTCAAGCATGACCATAGCCCCAAAGGGTGCTGATGCACTCTTTGGAGTGTCTTTTCTCTTGCTTTAGAAAAGACTCCTACCTTTGGCAAACTGCTGTCACCAAGGTCAATGCCTTCATACCTTACATTAGGACTCAGGTCACTCCTAGGAATGAAGTGGGAAAAAGATAATTTATAGCATTAATAAGACAAATACAAGGCAATTCCATCAGCCCCACATCCTTAATGAGTGTATTGTGTAAGAGAGATGATGCTATGCTTTAGTCTGTTCTGCATACATTAGGGTGAAACAAGGAGAAAAGACACAAGGCTCAGGCCATCAATTGCACAAGAAACCAGTTCAATGAGAAAAACTTGAAATACTCAAGGCCTAATCCCTTGAAGGAAGTAGTGTGCCTTCCTAGAGCTGCACATATATTGACCTTTTAGAAAGACACATCTGACCTCAACATTCAAAGGTATTGGGAAACTATTAGAGGTACTTGCAAAAACTTCTGTGTTGATGGCTTAGTACCAATGTGACTTGGAGACAGAGCTGGGGCAGAAGCAAGTGTTCCCCTGGGTCCTTATAAGACCATTTGTCCAAACTTCTGGCAATGCTAAGTTATAAGGGCTAGACTTTGCAGAACAATTATTCAGAGTATGTTTCAGAGAGCACTTAAATATTAAAGAGAAGAACACAGAAGAACTGGGCATCTGCTGAACTTGTACTTACAGGAGTCAAAGAAGCTGTAGTTCGGGACCCAAAAAGTTTGGTGTGTCAAGAATGTTCCAATCTATGCTGAGGAAGTAGATGTATCACACAAAACAAATCAAATCTCTCTATATGTACATCATTACCTTCCTGGCCAGAATCCTCCAGCCCAGACTGCAGTTGATGAAAGGAATATCAAAAATATGCCAGCTAACCAGACTAGACTCCCAGCAGTTGGTAAGTCAGAGCTCAGGAGGGATCCTGAACATCCTGGAAAAATATAAGAGGAGTTGCTACCACTTGCCAGCTTTTTAGCACAGGAGAAGGAAGTCTCACTCAGTGAGGGCTGGCAAACCCCCAGAGTTAACACCTGTCAACAAAACACAAGGCTGCAACTCATAATCCCTAACTGCCTGCAGCTGTGTCATGGCCAAGAGTATCTTGAAGAGAAAAACAAACTGTGTGCTTCTGTGTCCTTGGTTGGACTTGATGATCCGAGAAGTTTTTTCCAACCTAAATGATACTATGATTCGTGCCTAAAAGTTAAGTGAGAAACTCTTCTGAGTCCTGAGTCCCTGCAGGATAGGCCAAGGGTTCAGGCAAATGACTGCAAAATAAATAACTATTTTTGAGGGGACTTCTCTAAGAAAAGAAAAATTCTTTTCCCTGTATACAAACTCCTGCTAACTTTAAATTTCTGAACTTGAGCTAACAGGGGGTTTGTGGTTTTTGTTGTTGTTTGTTGTTTTGTTTTGGCTTTTTTTAAAAAGAACTTCAAAAACATATAATAGAATTTCCTATTTTTATAATACCTCTCTCTGGGAAACACTCGTGGATGCAATGATGTTTTGGTATGAAAGGATCAGTTCAGCTAATCAGGTAAGGTGCAGCATTACTGAAATCAACAGATTATGCTGGGGAGCTTCAGGTAATTGCAAAAAAAAAAAACTGCTGTAAAGTTCAACCTGTAAATTAGCCTGCTTTGAGGAAAGGTGCTGCTCTTTATTGCTCCTTGCTGTGCTGGACAGGACTCATTCAAGTGAGGAGTTGGGATCTGCAGGAAGGAGAAACATTTCTGAGAAATCAGGACAGAACAGAGAATACTCAAATGCCTTCCCATTCCTGGAGCTTCTGGGAACAAGATGCTGTACAAAGTATTTGCTGTACAAAGTATTTCACTACACTTGGGAAAAGAGAAACCTTTACAAAGTGTATCTTGTCTATGTGGCCAAATAATACCAAAAGAAGAAATTAGCATTACCAGAACACAGACTGGTGCCAGTAGGGCTTTGCAGCTCCTGTCATGTTTTCTCCAGCCAGTCTCCCACTCACAACAGCATGATTATGGTGCTCTACACATCTCCTACCTAATTTGATTTCACAGAAACAGACAGCATGCTCTGCCTTAAAAGGAATCAACCCTTGAGAACTGAACATTGACACTGAAAGCTTAAATCAACACACAAACAAAAAAGGCATTGGGAAGTGAACAAGTGGAACCATGAACCGAGTTTTTCTGACAAACTCCGAACTCCACCACTACCACATCCCACTCCCCAGGCTCACAAGTGCCAATTTCTCAGCGTTTTTCACCCATCTTGGGAAAAATAAGACAGCATTAGGTAAGTTTTTCCAAGGGAATCAAAGTCTCAACTACAACCGAAGGGATTCTTACACAATAGAGCAATCCATGCTGTCTTTTGGTTACCCAAACTCCTTTTACATAGCATAAATATTCAAAAAATCACACAGTGGTTACCACAGCAACAAAGTGTGCTGTGGTGCATGAACAGACTCCATGGCTGCCGGAAGGATCCACACTACAATTGGTCTCATTACTTGCTATTTTTCACCCCATTCACCTAATCGAGCTACATCAGCTCACACAATGCCATGTCTTCCGACTGCATCAGCATAACCAGCAGACAGAAAACTCTGCACAAACTCACCACACAGGTATTCGAGCACACCTGCAGCTCCATGGTCAACCTAAACCTTCCAATATCTGAGTCCACCTTCAGCCCAGCTGACTTTGTTAATTCCATATTAAACTCCAGCCCTACTGCAGTCACAGTATGATCAGACTCCAGCTGACTGGGGATTCATAATTATATGTTCTAAACAGTGAAGCTATACCCACTAAACAGTCTGCTTCATCCTTGCTCCCTGTAAAAGAAACACGTCCTCTCTCCTTGCCATTCCGCTATTTGGATCGCAGAGTCTATGTTACGTTTGGATCATCTGAGTTCTTTGGAAAAAGCTGGACACATAGAGGTCATGGCAGCATCTTCACACACAATCAGCACCTTTAGCTGGTATTCAAACACATCAGCTGTACCAATGCCAGGCAAATAGCAAAGCAGATGACAGAGGCTCCGAAGCAAGTCCAGTATTCTGCTCTAGAACAGTGCATCATTTACTCTGGCACCAGGGTTAGAAGGCCAAGTAGATCTGGCAACAGCAAAAGCAGCAGTTTCTCCACTGATCAGAAGGAAAGGAACACAAGATGGGACCTCAGGGCAAGGTCCTGAACCTGCAGGTGACAGACTGGCCTGCTTACTACAAATACAGCAGGGAAAATGGCCCAATCCCTTGGAACATAGTGTCACTAAATGTCTTTCACATGCAGGCTTCCTTAGGCAAATTGCCCTTTAAATACCTTCTACCCCAATATGCTTCCCAAGAACCACACTGCTGTTTCACTCAAAGCCGGCTCACTGTGTAAACCAAACTGTCAGATTTCAGCAAATTACTTTTTCTAAGCTAGATCTGCACAGCTGAGCTCAATGGCAATCACAGTTTTGGAATAGGCCAGCAGCACAGCTTATATCACATGGCTTTAGCTCCTCTCTTACAGATCTACTTTTCTGTGTTTTAAGATATTAGGAATAAGAATGATCTATGTAACAAGCCTGAAACACCACTATTGGGACATCCTGTTAACAGGTTTCAAGTCTTACTCTGAGCAGGTGCTCAGAGGCTTCAGCAGACTCTCAAAAAGCTTCAATTTATAAATAATTCTAAGAATGCTGCTTATATTTGCACAGCTGGGTGGAGTGGTTGCAAAGTCAAAGCCCCACAAAGTTAATTTCCAGCATTAGATATACGATTTCACCTTTCTATAAGATTAAGACATTCTCTGTTCAGTAGATTCAGGATAGCAAAAACATGCTTGCCCTTTACTCTGTCCAAGCAAAGCACTAGAGATCAAATATTCAGGGTTCACAGTAGGTGTCAGTTTTCTGATCTAGCAAAAGGGACTTAGGCAAAAAAATACTAAAAACACCAGGAGAAGAGATTTGGCCTGGGTGTCATTCAATCAGGAAAAAAAATTCAGAATTATTTGGAAAATATGAACTACAAAGTACTTGGTCTAGTTGCATTTCTTTCATAACACAAATCAACTTGTGAGCAAGACCACTGGACATTCAGTGAACAATTTATGAGGGAGTAAAGTTCTCTAAATTCTGAGACATGTTTCTCTGCAATTGTATTCTGAAAGAAACACAACTTTTGAGTTCCTACCAGAACGCACTTCCTCCCACATGCAGGTCCTGTTTCTAAGCAACATACAGTTAAACCACACATAAGAATAAAACAGTCAGTTAAATATTACCATTGAGACTCACCTGCTGTGCCCTGAGAAGCTGCATCTGTATGTGAAAGAGAAGACATTGACTTAATTCAGCAAAGCACAGGTTATCAAGGATACTGCAGTTAGGGAGCCGCAGTTCAGGGCTGACTCAGGGAAACTACAGGCTCAACAACAGGCTCTTTGCAGTAAAGGGACAGAGTCCACAGAAACAGAAACTTACCAAGACCTCTCCTCCAGCATTTAGGCTCTCACTCTGGCCTTAACCATGCTAAAACCTCAAAACAAAGCAATCAGTTTTCTGCCTTGTCAGCAGGATCTTCTTTCTGTTGGTTTCCTAGTAAAGTGAGATAACACACCCTATCTTCTATGACCTAAAGCCACTGTTACTATGAGGTGTATCATCCTTTTGCTTAGTAGTTCAGATACTGCAGTTTAAGATCTCAAATTTAAAAGAGACCTTCAATGAGAAACCTGCGGCCTACATACAACCTACAAAGCATCAGCAAGAGCCTCACTAATTGTCTCAATTACTCCCTCTACCTGTGGCCCAAGCATGATACTTCTCTCATGTCCAGTCCACTATGCACGTGACAAGGATGCAGTACAGCACAGAAGATTTTGTGCTGGCAGAACATATTATCCCATTGGAATCACAGTGTCTTTTCCAGACTGCACAAGGCTAAAAAGCAACAGCAGGGCTAACTCTTTCCTCCTTTCATCACAGAAGGTATAAATGGTGGAAAGAAACCCTGAGAGACAACCTACTTTATTCTCATGATCATCTGTAAAACAGAGCTTTGTCCTGGGTCATGGAAAACTAGCACCGTCCTCTCTGCTGTGTAGACATGACAGTTCACAAACAACTGTAGAATGCACAGAGAAGTGACAATGCTGTGAAGGCACAGCTTAAGGAAATCTGTGTTTTCAGGTCTCTGTTCCATTTGTTTTAGAGGTCTGAAGTTAGAAGCTTACGGAAAACAGACCCAAACATAGAACTAGCAAGCTAGTTCCCACTGGAAGGAGATGATTCATTTTCTTGAGATTGTGTAGTTATTGTTGTGACATGTCTGGTGAAAAGCTTTTTGTTTTCTCTCAACATTCTGTGTATGTGAAGACAGACAAGGAGATATTTACCTTGTATATCTTACAGTATCAAGGCACTACTCTGCTTTTACCCCTCAACAGGCTTTTGCCTATCCTGCTTGCGCATAAAAGCCATCTGCTTTCAATTGAAGAACATGGGCCTATATATACCTCGCTGAAAAAAAGTGCACATAAAGGTGTGTGCATATATAGCTACAAGAAGTATGTGCCCAGGAAATTATCTGCTATGTATACAGTGTGATGAATCTCAGTTCTCTGGTTGCTTTCCATAGGCAAGCAAATGAGCTAGCTGCAGATGTTTGGCTGTGGACCTGTTCCAAGGGAAACCAGATAGAACAAAGGAAATGCAGTCGAACAAAACCCAAGGCTGTTTGCAAGCTAAGCCAGGGCCATGACACAACATGGGGCTGCAGAAAAGGAAGACAAATTCCAGGAAAAAAAGAAACTCCCACCTTCAAAAGCCTGTAAAAGCAGGACAGTACAAGCAAACAAGCTTACTGGCTTTCTTTAGGACAGATGTTACAGGCATGTCGTTAGCAGAGGTAGATCACTGACACTAGCACTGCTTTTCAGCCACAAGAGGTGGCTGTCCTAGGTGACAGCCTACAGATGTGGGAATCCCTTCCACATGAATTCTGATCTTCTGTTTGTCTTTTAAATTCAGATTGCAGTATGAGTATGACCTCTTGTGAGTGAAGTACAGGACTCCATCCTTGACACAACCCGACAGAAGACAGTAGGCTCAGAGACATGAAGTTTGGGCTGGTTCGTTCTGGCTCTGTGTTGTTTTGTTTTGTCTGTTTGTTTTTAAAATATGGCTATAAATACATTTAAAAAGTAGAACTAACTGCAATGACCCTAGCCAAATATTGTGTTGACCAGTCTCTTGTTAAAATGAGCCTTCAGTATATGCAAACAGAACTGTCACGCAGAGAATCTTCTTTTATATAACTCAACACAGAAGCACCACATACATATAATGATATCTTGCCCTTTTAAAAATTAATATTTCCACAAATTTTATACAGGTGAAATAAAATACTCTGCACAATTCCAAACCTGTGCTTCATCAGTGCTGATCTGTGCAGATTTCTTGAAGACTTGAGAAAAACATAAGATTAAATGATTTTCAAAGTAGATATCTTGATTGTTGCATTAATTTCATGTCTTCTAGCTAGGGAAACTGAAGAGCTTGTAAAAGCCAGAGACTTTCTGAGTCATATTTGACTTTTTCCCCCTCCTACATTTTAGTTCAAAACAGGACTTTCCATTGACTAGGAATTAAAAAAGGAAGAAATAGGCAACCTGAGATCTTAAAGTGCTGATACTCATTTGCAGTAAGTACTGCTAAACTCTGGCAACCTTGCCATGTTTACTTTTTCAGAGACTTTTAGCATCTTTCATTCCATGGAAAATTACAACTTTTCCAATTTTTTTTAGAGGGACAGATCAGATGACATTGAGGGAGAGGAAAACCCTCGAGATTAAATTAAAAACCTCCTAGAAACCTCATTTTAAAGTGTTCTCAGACACAGTGATGCCACTGAAGCCAGAAATCAAACCATTGTCATGCAACTCAATAAATCCATAATAAGCTCACATCCTAAAGAGTGTAGGTGGTTCTATCCCTCTTCCTTCCTTTAGTGAAGGGAAACCTCAGTACAGAAAAAAAACTACAGAGAGCAGGAAAGGATGATCAAAGTTATGGAAAAGTTTCCCCACAAAAAGAAACTAAATAGTTTAGACTGAGGTTTGGAAAATGGTCCAGCCATGATTATTTAAGCTTCTGGATGACTATCTAATGTAATGAAAAAATATACTGACATATACTGGGCAGTGAGGTGCAGTTATTGATAGAGAAGTCCCCTGAAACTTTCAAAATTTGTTGCAGTCTAGCTATATTTGGTCACAGGTGATGGGATAAGCCTTAGGTCAAATTTAAATCTGAGACTAATAGATAAGCATATAATTTCTATAAAATCACATATTTAAGAAATAGTTACCTTTACATTGATAAGGAGTATACAGCAACAATAAACAGAAACAAGTTGTATTATGCTACATTTAATATGTTGTTTAATGTATTCTGATCTTTTTCCTGGCAGAAAAGCAAAGTACCCATCAAAGTACAGTAACAGCTGACCATGGTGCATGCCAAAATGTAATTTTAAGGAAAAAAATGTTGCATCTAACACAATTCTGTCTTTCTGTGTTTCCTTATACACTATTCCAAAGTTTTTTACAGAGTAAACAGGAATAGTAATGCAAGGGAATAGCAGAGATGAACAAAACAGATGCTACAAGTCAGATCTTCAGTTTGAATAAATCAACACCTTGAATAAAGCCAAGATGTAATTTGTACCATTTAATAATCATGTCTCCATATCAAAGGTATTTCTCCACAAAAATTCTGAACTCCAAAACAAGTACAGAGAGCTAACCAAAGCGACATCCAAGCAAGTACCGACTAAAGACTTCAAGGCAGCTCAGCTTCTGCCCAGCACAGCACAGCAAGCAGTCTGGGCTCATTAGCCCTCCCCACGGTGCTGCTTCCAAGACCTCTGGCTCTCCTTTGAAAGGCTGTTCTTCCAGCAGAACAACACAGCACTGCTCCTGGAGGCAGACCCAGGATTTCTAACACAATGTTTTATCTTAATGAAAAGACTTGAGTGTCGGGGTGGTTTGACCCTCATGAGACACTTGTCAGGACTTTTTCAGTTACACATATAATTAACTTCTTTTGAAGGTTTGAGTGCTTTCAGGTTTCCTGTGGACCCTTTCTCCTTCGCCTGTAACTGAAGAGACACAAAAGAATGGACCAAACAACTTTGTTTGCTCTAGGACCTGGAAGATCTTTCTCTGATTCTGTCTTTTTGGTCATTTGTGGTAATCCTTCACCTGTGAGTAATAGTCGCATTGGTAAGTTTCTACTGTGGAATGCTGCTGTATTCTTTCGGGAAAGAAAATCCCAAGAAATGCATGGCGCAATGTGAGATACAATGTGACTGGTTCTCACTAGAAGAGTCTACAGATGCTCCAGATTACCAAAGTAATAAATGTTTGTATGTTCTTCAGAGAAATTATAGGAGAAGAATACAGCACATACTTTTCATCAACCATACCATTTTTGTCTGACAGTGTATTTATTTTAACTGTCAAATTACGATATCTGTCAAAACATATCACCTTCTTTCTATCACCATATGCCAAGATAAGTCTCCACATTCTCACTTGGATGTCATGACTGCTTCAGCATTTTGCACTGCATATTTCTCAAGTGCAGAACAATCTTTGAAGTAATGCATCCCTTTACTAATAAAATAACAAGGAATAAAGTATCTGTCACTAATTTCTACATCAACTATTCTGTGACACTATGACTATAGCAGGAAATGATCTGTTTGCCTATAATTAAATGCCATAAATATGTCTGTACCTGTCATCAATGTAAAGGACAAAATTTAAAGGGTGTAAGGGGGCAAAGTACCACATAATTAAATGGGAAGTTTAAGTCCTATTTTCAAAATTTGACAGACTATGGAAGTCTCTACCTCACTTCTTCTAATGAATATTCAACACTTGTAATTTAAGTGAGAACCGTTTGTCTTTTTACATTGGCTCTAAATAAAAAGTAGGTGCCTAACCACACTTTTCCACACTGAAAACCAATCTGCCCACTGTTAATAGGTTTTCCATAATTTTTGGAGGACTACAAGCTAGGACTTCATGGTGAAAAAAACCCACCCAAAACACAGTTTATCACCAAAATAGTTGATGCAGAAAATTAATAAAAATCTAAATGCCAAAATATATTTTTAAAACCTCTCAAAATTCCTCAAGTTCAGAGATGGACAGGAGCTGTGTGAAAAGAAACAGTTTACTGGAATATCTGGAGTTTTTTAATCAGTCAAACCAAAATTAATTGGATGAAAAATAAATCTTGGTCAAAAATTTACTGATATATCTTAAGCTTGGTCTGTGCTCTGGAGTCCACAACTTTGGTGTCATCTACACCAGGTTTGGAAATTCCAGAGAAACCCTATTCCAGTCTGTGTCCAGGCTGGAAAACTAACAGTTTGGGAATCCCACTTTACAGCAAGATATGCTCACTCGATTATCTGTTCATGAGAACACAA